GTCCACAGTGGGTTCCAGCGGAAGTATTCACAGTAGGATACGTTGCAGTTGTTCAGCTTGATTCCCCCCAGTTCCTGTGGAATCAGACGTATGTGCACATGCACAGGTACACACACACACACACACACACACACACACACACACACACACACCAAACAATTCCAACAAACCGTAAATGCAATCTAATAGGGAAAGGTTCAGATACTTCTGTCAGTTTTCAAGATCAGAAGAAATTGTACCAGTCCTATGTCCTCTAACCACAAATCTTTAGATCATTGCAACTCAGGATGGGATGCATCTCTATTGATTTGTTCTTCTTTTGTGTCCTTCAATAATTAACATTTTTTTCTGTAGTACTCATATTGGTAATTTTCCCCCTTGGTATTTAGAATTATTTTCATTATGAATGTGATAATTTTCTATTTATTTGTTTTAATGTAGTTAATTTTACTAATTTGATACTATTCATATATTTGTATATCTGGACAATTCATTGAAACGTTTTCTTAATTTAGGTGGATTTCAGTTGATGTTCTGTATAGAACATTATGCCATCTGTAAATAATGATTGCTTTTTTCTCCCTTTATAATATATAAACATCTTATTTTTTTCTTGGTCTCTTGTAGTTCCAAAGAACTCCAATGTAATGTTAAATAGATGTTCATCAGGGGTTTGAATTAAGGCTTTCTTGTCAAAGCAAGAAATTCTACCTTTCTAAGATTTTGCTGTTTGAATGTTTCATTGCCCACTTAATCAAGTAGACATAAAGAATTTGTAGTGCCTAATCTAATATTTTCATATGTCTTTTTGTTAAATTTCAGATTCTAAACATATTAAAGACAAAAATTGCAAGAATAAAATTAACTATAAATTCAGACAAAGTTAAAATATTGTAACATGATGCTTTTCCCAGAAAACCTACAGAAATAGATGATATGTAAGTCCCCTATGCCTGCTGTAACTACTGCAAACTTGGTAGCTTAAAGCAGCAGAAATTTATTCTTTCACAGTTCAAGAGGCCAAAAGTCCAAATTTCATATTCTGGGGAAAAATCAAGGTGTCAGCAGGTTCATGCATCCTCTGGAGAATACATTCCTGACCATTCTAGCTCCTGGTGGCTGCCAGCATTCCTGAATTGTGGTTACATCACTCTAATCTCTGCCTATATGGTGACACTGCCCCCTCTAATGACTGCCACATCTCTTTGTCTCTGTCTTATAAGGACACTTGTGATGTCATTTAGGTCCCAGCTGGATAATTCAGAATAATCTCATATCAAGATCTTTAATTTAATCACATTTGCAAAAAGATAACTATGTAAGGTAACATTTCCAGGTTTTCAAGATTATGGACAGATATATTTAGGGGTCAACATTCATCTCACTACTGTCTGCACTTTAGTTCCAAATATTATATCTGTCCCACATGCAAAATACTTCCCACCTCATCTCAGTTTTTCCAGATGTATTAAGCTATTATATCATCAACTTAAGTCAAATTCTCATTGAGAGATCATCAGCTCAAAGTCCCAGATTCATGATCTAAACCATCAAAAACAGTTATGGATGAGACTAAGTATGCTCCATCCTAGGGCAAAATTCACTTTGTAGACTCGTGAAACTAGAAAACAACTCAAAATACAGTGATAGTATAATAGTTCTGTTCCAAAGGAAAGACATACAAGGTGGAAAGGAGTTACTGGTCCCAAGCAATATTAATCCTTAACTTGATCACACCTGCAAAAATTTTCCTGATTCCAAGAAATAGGTTCTGATATCTTTTTGGGGGCCATCATTCAGATTACTTCATGAAAATTGCTATCTTAACTTACGAAGAGACAGAAAACCTAAATATATCAAAGAAAATACGATTGCCATGTGTTATTTACCTTCTTTGAATGAAAGACGTAATCTATTATACTACAATAAATTTCTATCTATATATCTTTATATGTTACCTCTGAACCAGTAGCAAACTATTTTAATTATTCTAGTTTTGTAACACATTTTCATACCTCATCGGGCTAGAGACACCTTCCCCATTTATTTTACTATTTTAAAAAATTTTGATGGTTATTTAGGAAATTTATATTTTTGAATAAAATTTGATATCACTTTTATTAAATTTACTCTTGCTTTGAGTACCTGGCCAAATCTTTTTGTATTGGGGTTAGATCTGACTTGATCTAAATTTGGGGAATTTAGAATATTTTATCATAGCACATCCTATGTTTTAAAAAGTTGTATTTTCCTACTTAATTATGTTTTCTCATATGGTTCTTAGCAGGATCCAAAGTTTCCATCACATTCAGAACACTGTTCCATGTGCTATACAGAATAATCTCAAAATATCTTCACCACATTATAAAGTGATATCAGTATCCCTTGTAAAGATGAAGAGCTGAGAGTCATAATAAAAAATTTGCTCAGAGTCACTAGTCTTGGAAGTGAAATCTGTTTGAACTCATAGTTTGTCCATTTTAGAGTGTGGAAGTGATGCTGATTTAATTTGTTTCCTAAAAATTGCAATAGAGAGAGACAGAATGGGCAAAACATGTATAAAAGAAAGCAACAACAATATTTTAGCTTTTTCTTATTTGGTCTCTTTTTGGTGAATCCCAAATATGGCTGCTGGATAAGTTTACAGCATTTGGCAGTTCTCTTTCAAGCCTCCTGGGGTTATGCCAGAGAGACAGGCCCCATGAGAACTTGGTCTGGATTCTTACCCAAATGAGCACCTGCTGTCATTGTTCTGTATCAGTCGCCTCGTCAGCAATGCCAGCTCTCTCTGTGGTGGAACCCATTCAACACAAGGAAAAGGCATGCCAGTGTTCCTCAGCAGTTTCTAATTTTCCCTCTACTGCATGATCCATTGTCTAGTTATGTTTGAGGCAGAACTAACAGTAAGCCTATCTTTGGCTATTTAATATTGTTTGTAGGAGTTTGCACAGTTCTAGTCCAGTCTAAAATGGTTTTCTTTTGATTCTCTCCTCTCTCATTCATATTTTCTCTCTCTCTCCTATGTATCTTCCTTTGGAAAGGAAGAGATTTGTTTTTACAAAAATATATGCTTGTAAAGCACATTATACTATTCAATCTATTTTTAAAAGTCTCAGTTCTCTAAATTTGGGGAAACCAATAATTCAAGCAGAAGTAAATGCAATGGTGGTCTCCCAATGGATAACCAGTATTGATAATCCACCCTTAGTGCTTGGTTCAGATTCCTTTGCTTTTGTTTTACCGGTCTGCTGGATGTGTGCTTTTAATTATGAGGTGCTTTAAATTGACTTTGAACCAGAGTCAGGTTAAAATCAGAATAAATGATTTTTAAAAATTAGTTTATGGTCATGCTGCACACTATATCATAAATAGCCTAGCTAAGAATTTTTTCCTATAATTTCATACCACAGCAAGACAACTTTACATTCTTAAACAGAATATATTTATGACTCATAGTGAGAAGTTTTTTTTAAAAAACACACACACACAAAACACACCTCTGTGACTAAATTTTAGAACTATTGGGGCAATAAAAGTGTACTATTTTGATATTCCTGTTTCTTAGCAAACCAGGAAGTTGACTCACACTCTGTTTCTCTCTCTCTCCCCATATATATAAATATATATATATGTGTGTATATATATATATATATATATATATATATACACACACACACACACACACAAAGTTGTATCTTAGAATATAAAAAATTAGAGGGTATTTTTGGTAACTTTTTTATAAATGTTGTATTATACATACTTATCTATACCTTTGTATTCTTTTCACTGTGGATTAATTCAATTACGCAACAATTTTTAGAGTATAAAATTTACAGATAAAATTACTTTCTATCACAGCTCTATCTTGTAGGGAGAAGCAACTCTCTGCCATCTGCAGTGGGCATTGGTCCCTCCCTTGTTGTGCCTCACGCTTTGTTATGCTTGAATAAGCACATTAGCCTTTTCATTTCATTCATTAGACTTTTAAGCCTTGATTAGTGTTTTCAAAATTCTCTCCAATACACAACTTCTTTATTTCCTTTGTGTTTGGTTTTTCTTTTTCTTTAATTTCCACTACGAAACAAAATTAACAGTTAATCACAACCATAGTCCCATTTCTATTGAGATGCCTGGTAAATATATTAGGTCCTCATTGGAGTGATTAATCATGTGTAGACGAGGAATGGGACAATATCTCCTTCTTTGGAATAAGAGGGGCTACTGTTTAAAGTCAGCAGAACGGTTTGTGCTTGAAAAGCTTGAGTCACAATATTCCACCAATCTCCTACATTCAGTGGGATTCTGTCTCATAGAAACTCTGATTTCAAAAAAAAAAGAAACTCTGAATGGATTTCCTAAAAGGAAGGAACATCCATTAAGTTTCAGAACTCATGCATTTGGATCCTTAAAGCCTAGTTACACTTGTCATCAATTCTCCAAAAATAAATTTTTCTATTTGTTGTTTTTCTTCATTAAGCAAGATAAAATACGTACATCAGAAAGTTGCTTGTGGAACAAACAATAATTACACATCCAAAACACTTTTGGCAAACTCTGAAGTCATATAGTATATTTACCTTGACTAGGTAGGAACCTTCATACTATCTTTCTACCACAATTAATTTCAAAGGACTAGAAGCTTTTCTATTTGATCATTTCTCCACTTAGATAATCCTTCCAGCTCTGGTATAACGATATTTTCAACTACGTTTTAACATTTATGTTCATATGCTCTATCTTAAACATGCTTTGAGTGTGAGGCCAAAGCCAATTGTTAAAGAAGATCTATAAATGAAAAAGGAATCAATTCCTAGAAGTAAATATGGCAAGTGACAAATGGTGACATAAATCATGCTTGCATAGAATTTATGTGAATTACACCTTTTTGCCTAATTTCAGAACATAATTTTATTCATTAACTTTTTTCTCTTTTAATCTTTATTTCCACAAGACAACAAGGTCATAAACTGTCCTGTTTTCTTTTCTGTTTCTCTCCTTAGGATGCTTCCATTGCACACAGATTCCACATCATGAGAGAAAAACACCCAGAGAAATTCAACAGTAGGTAAGATAACAAATGATGAAATTGTACTTATGGTGGCTGTTGATAAATCATGTCATAAAAAAAAACACTATATGGAATAAAATATTTCACAAAGAGTAACTGAATAAGGCTTGGTGTATGAGTATAAAGACAGAAGTGTAAATGAAGTCAAACTTTTCTCTTAGGTTTTAATGCGAGTGTAATGGGAAATGCAATGTGGTCATTTCTAGTCCATTGTCACTGCTGAAGGGAAAGATTTCAAGTATAAGGTGAAAATAATATTTTATTAAGATAAACTGAAGTCTTTACATGGCTAAGTAGGAAGATTGGATCATCCCAAATCCCAAAGGAAAAACATGGGGCTCTCATTTGATAATGCTGAATAACTCTATATTACATAGATATCATATAAGGGCTCTAATACTTATATTGTCTGTCCAATATTGGCCCCAACTAAATGGAAAATAAACCAGAGAAATATCAGTGCTAGTGAAGTACTTTTAAAGACTTTTGCTTCAAGGAGAAAAGCCTTGATGACCAAAATTAGTTTCGCCACTGTAGCAATATGTGAACATTTTCCCCTCCAAAATGTAGACATTTCACTTTTTCTGATATTCAAGGAAATAAGCAACTCTCTGGCTTTGTATCTTCTCCATTTCTAGAAGGAAATATGGCTAATCTCCACTCTACTCACCCGGAAAATGAGACAGAAGGAGTGAATTATCTTTTGCTTCAGTTATTCTCATTTCTACTGTTCATTTCATAAAGCTCCAAAATTAGAATCAGAATCACATGCATTAATGTTCAGAGCCAAAGACTCTATGGGCTCTGTATATGGCTAGGTTGATATCGCGTCGTGCATGCAATAGGCCACTTATTAGACAACCGCCTCTGAAAATTCTTACATTTATTTTCATATGGTCACTCGCTAGTACATTGATATAATTTTCTTTCATGTAGGTTCATAAAATATTGTTAAAATGTACTTTCAAAATTATTTTAGATTCTTTTTAACTCTAGACTTTATATAAGAATCATCACAGTAAATAGTTTCGTGATTAGTGAGAGCTTATCTGATGTCTTTTTTAATTTACCTACTTAAATGTTTTAGCAAAACATATGAAAACTTATTTCTGCCCTGGCTGGTGTGGCTCAGTCGATTGGGGTGTCCTCCCATACACCTAAAAGGTTGTGGATTTGATTCCCGGTCAGGACACATACCCAGGTTGTGGGTTCAATCCCAGGTTGGGTCCGGTGGGGAAGGCAACCCATCCATGTTTCACTTTCACATCAATGTTTCTTTCGCTCTCTCCTCCCCTCTTTCTTTCTCTCTCTTTCTAAAATCAATAAAAGCATGTCCTCAGGTGAGGATTTAAAAAAATCTTATTTCTAATAGCTACCTTATGTTTTGCCTGGAGTTCTTTCTGGCACTACAGGTCATAAATCATGAAATGATGGTTTGCTTTTTCTCTTATAATTCAGAGAGCTAAAAGTTTTGTTTTTAAGAAAATGCAAAAAGTATATATATGTATATGTTTACATAATGTCTTTAGAAGGTTTAACAGAAATCTTTTAGCTCTGGATACTTCTGAAAAAGGGAACCAAGTGGTTGTGTGGAGAATAAATTTTTATTCTGTATTTTTGTGTACTGCTTGAATTTTGTGCCGTGCATATTATAAATTTAAGCAGAAAATAATCTAATCACAGGTTTGCACCTATAATGTTTCTTTATTTCTAGAATAGACATTTTATTTTACAATATTTAATTTTATTTCATTAAGTATATGAAAATAAATTGCTATAAATGAAATTATTTCACTTTATAGTAGATTTTAGCATTTAATAATATACCTTGAATGTCCTGGAAATGAACATATTTATTAATGTAAATAAAACTACATTCGTGAATTAACTAGCCCATGCTTATCCAATGCTGTTCTATAAAGCATTCATGTGTCAATATTCATATATTAAAATAGGTTTCAAGTGAAAAAAAAGTGCTGTTTGTAAAATGCAGCATGCAGTGTACCCCTTCAGGATTTTCACAATTTAATAGCCCATTAACAGCTTTAAGAAATACACAGGGGAATAAAAGTTTAATGATGTTTAAGGCATTTTTGCCCAAAACTTATTCAGCAGAGGAGGACAGAGATAAAAACAGAAAGAGATGGGAGAGGGGGGAGGGAGAAAGAAAAATTAAAAGTATAGAGAGTATCTATATATTTATGTGATACTCAAAACTCTGACAGCCTTCATATCAGAATGCCAATATTCATGATCTGCCCTCATGTCAGAGACTAATAAATTTTGATCTCTATACTAATTTTAATTCTTCTTAATAACTTATATTTTTCACATATAGCTACTTAATTTTTTATTATCAATTGCAATACTATTTTATGACATATGTCACTTCCCAATATGTGGTTAGATATCATTTACAGCCATGTGTTTGTACACCCTGTGTTTATAAAATGTAAAGCTACATCTTATTGCAACTTATTTGTAATGTGAGTCATAGGCAAATCTTGCTTATGTAATTTAAAGGGCTTATTTCCTTTGGAACAGTAGTCACATAGAAATGCCTTCTAGATTGACACAGGTCACATGTTTCTAGTGTGTGTTCAAAGAAGGCCAGGTGTATAGTAGGTGCTCCGTGTGTTATTGGCCAACAATATTTTAAGATAACTATCAGCCCTGAAATTACACATTACCAAGTTAATGAGGCATATGCCTTTTGATCTATACTTTTATAGGTTAAGCCTTCACTTAGAATTAGAAGCATTTAGGTAATTCCTAAACTGTAATGCAGCATATTTAGGATAGGAACATTTCCTAAATTTCTATGAGGAAGGCATGCCAGATATAGTTCATAAGAGATTTTCTACTTTCAAGGATAGATTTTCAGATTTCTGTGTTGAGACAGCTTCAGCCACAGCACTCTTCTATATTTTCAGGAATTTGCAAATGGACTTTTCTAAGTACTCCTAATAATGGTGTTTCAGATCAGATCTCTTGTTACAATAAATCATATGCCATTAATATTATCCTCTAGCATGCTCACCTTGAAATTCATTTATATTTCAAAGAACATGATGTTTCTAACATTATCTTAAGGAAATTAATTACCAAAATATATAGTTCTGCTCTCTATGCTTCTTATGACAGAAATTGAAAAGACTGGGAAAGATAATGATTTTTCCGGTGCTTAAGAGAGTGCTGGTTGAAAGGTTTCTATAGTGTTCTTTTCAAAATATCTATATAAATCTAAGTTAATTGTTAAAAGAAAGTGTGCTGTTTAACCTTCTAAACACTAAGATATTCTTTAATCAAACTGAATTTAAACAAATATTTCCATTCTTTTACTCAAAACAAAATTGTCATTAAAATATTTATGCTTCTATTTAAAGCCATTTAGTGTGTAGTATTGCTATTTAAATTATTTATCTAATTTGACTATATGTACCATTATACTTGCATTTTCATAATTCACATACATTACACCTCTCTTGCTTCTATTTAGATAGAGCAATTTGATTCTTGCTTTTAGAAAAATATTGACATTAACAATCCTATACCCATTAATATCTATATCCATTAAAATGATATGTATAAAGGTTTATAATAATTTGGGGGAAATGCAAAACTGTTTTATTCCATGAGTAAAACCATGCCAGCTTGACAAAGACTTACAAGGAAATCACAAAATGGAACTAGCTATAGAAAAAGCTTTGGTGGTCTTACCAAGATGTCTTAATATTGTAGTAATAGCTTGTTTTCAAGGAGCCAATTCAAATTCTTAGTATACAATTCTTAATACCATTTGCTTGCAAACACTGATGGCCTGCGATACTCCACCAAGACACTATTTCATTAAGTCCACTCCGGTTATTTGCAAGTCTCTAGTCTCTAACTCCCAGAATGAGACAAGTATCATTTTCTTAGTACCACTCCCACTCCCCACCCTGGTTCAGGGGCATGTGCCTCACTTCTGTACTGATTTCTGCTTTTTATGAAGAAATACACAACTAACAAACTGCAATCGGTGTGTGAATTTAAATAAGGCAATTTAACTCAAAATAAGCAGAATGGTGTGGTATCAATATGCCACAGGGTCTTGCCTTCCAAACGTGTGAAGAGAAGAAATAAAGTTGAAAAACTGATATCATAGGCTGATCATTTGATGTTATTATATCAATAAACCGTAATTTTTAAAAGAACCGATGTTTTCCAAATTACCCAAGACATGAAGAGCATACATGAATTTAGAAAATTTGCTATGCTTCAAAATCACACTCATTCTATGGAGTGATTCTTGATTTCCTAACAGTAGGCCTTGTGAGATTATGGAATGGGGCTGTTTCTGGGATTTTAGTATCTACACAGTACATGGTACTCAATAGATATTTGCTGAATTTATCCCCAGACTTACTTATTATTGAGTGGTTTCTTTGTCTTCCTATCAAGGCCCTGAAGTTTGGATAAATACTGCTTATCTGCTGTTGGTTTGGTTGATTCTTTATTTTATAGATTATTTAATAAAGAGGCTCTTATATGATGGGCATCTATGGAGGCACTGAATCTTTTGAAACCTAAGGCATATGAGGAAAATTAATTTTGGGGTTACATAGAAAACTTAGATCGTGATAGGTTCTGTAGAAAAAATATCAACTAGAAGAAAAGTCTATGTTGTCACAATACATTGTGAAGGATATTTTCTGGGGTTCCCAAGTTAAGGTGACCATTGAGCTCTAAAGGGTGTATGCTGAAGTAAGGGCTGCTTATCTGTTGGATTCCTTAGCTGAAGAAGAAACATTTATTTCTAGTTTCTGTTTGCAAGTTACTTACGTTTATTAGTATCATTCCATGCAAATCTTCTAAATACTATTTTCCTCCTTGATTTTGCCTTTCTGTTCCTCAGATTTGTGTTTTTGCTTTACATGAATTTGCCTGTGTTTTATGCAAAAATTTTATACACACAAAAACCCAAACACATGGATACACTCACCTCCTAGGATACC